TTTTTTTTTTTTTTTTTTTTTTTGTAGCTTTACTTCAAATATAGTGACGATTTTCCATTAGACAATTCTTCACTATTAGATTTTAAAAGAATATCACGTATGACGTCTGCTTACGCTATTATTAATATTGTTTATCTTCTAATTATTACTCGTTCCAATTAAATCCATAATGCTGAACCAACGAATAATTAATTAAAATTCATCGTCGAATGGATATTGCCTCTGACACCGAGCAATTACAAAACTTTTTAAAGCAAAAGCTCACCAATTTCCCGCTGCACGTCTTGCAGTCCGTTCTTGAGGTTGGCCATCTCCTTTTGCAGATCAGCCATGCTGACCCTCGCAGCCGTTCTAACATGTGGCATATCCTCCTCGATGTCGAGCACCTCCCGAAATCGGGCCTCGAGTACCTGGACGAGATAATGGAGGAGAGTGGTACCCTTGGCGCATGAGGATTTGGTATCGACGAGGCGGTTTAAGGAGGCTAGCCTGAAGCCGCAGGCGTTGCCCCGAGCGTTGCCGCGATTTACGTAGTTTCCCAGAGCGAGCACAAGCTCAAGGAGCTTTCTGAGGCGGCGCGAGCGTGCAACCTGACGAGAGGCTTCGAGAACGGCGCGCATCCGAGGTGTCAGCTCGGCTATGCTCGCCGAAAATTTCTTCTTGTAGTGTAGCGAGCGCAGTCTCTGCTCGTAGTGGGGGACTCTGTGAAAAGATTGAAATCGTGTACACATCGGATCACGCCTGTTCCTTCCTTATCAATGATTAATTGGGGATAATTTTGGAAGCAGCTGATACTATCCTACATAATCGTAGTACCGTAAAGAAATTACATTAACATTTTCTGATCCAAGATATCACATCTGATGCAGTTAATATAGCGTTTGAATTATGGGTACTCTTACAAGTTTTTCCTTTATAAAATTCTAGTGACTTGTTTGTAAAGTAGTAAAACTTGTGTAAAAAAAATCCAATTACACCGTACCCTGAAGTTCTTTTCTCCTTTATCACTTTTCTTATTAAGAAGTTTAGAACACGAGGAATTAAAATAAAAATCTTTGCAAATAAGATTACGAAAATTCAATACACGTAGTTATAAAACACTTATTATAAAACATAATGAATACACGAAAAATAAAATTTTAATGGTAGAATATTGACAAAAAAAAAAAAAAAAAAAAAAAAAAAAAAAAATTAAATTATTTGTGGTATTTTAATAAAAAAAAAAAAAAAAGAAACTTGAAATATCTCAATTTAAAAAATTAATAATAATATATACACATAAACAGATGGACAGCTTTATTTATTCAGAAAGATATTTACTTCGATATTTGGTGTAAAAAACAGTCAGCTCTGCTCTGTAGATCCTTTTGATGCATATCTAATGAGGCGGCTTCTTCGGATGACGGAATGTATTTAAGTAGTTGTTCGACCATATCGATGTGGAGAATATTCTGCTGATCCATCGACAGAATCGTCCTAGTTATTTCATTGTCGGACATCTTTAACTTTGACAGCAGAATCGTACAATTTTGAGCTCTTCTTGCATCGATCACCGACATGGTTCTTTTATTTTTTCCCAGATTCCGTAGATCCTCGATCGATCCTTCAGCAGATACTCCATTTTTTTGATATGCACAAAATATTTTATCAATTGATTCCAGATCCATAATATTGTAAAGTTTTGAATCATCCAGCTCTGACCAGATTGTGCCCTGTAATTTTTGCTCTGGAATTTTTGACCAGTTGAAGGACTTGAGAGGATTGCTTGGTTGAGGAACGTTCTTGATAATTTCCATCTAAATGAAATAAAAGAAATTTATCAAATATATTGACTAACTAATTATAAACTCGACAATTTATTGTTATCGAATAGATCTTCAAACTCCTTGAAAGTGTTCTCTTTGTTTTTAATTTCTTTTTTCTTTCTGTCTTTTTTTGGTTTTTTTTTTTTGTTTTTTTGTTTTTTCGTTTTTGGTTTTTGCTTAAAATTTAATACATCATATGTTCTTAAATCCAAAAAGACTTTTGACTTTTTATTTCAGTAAGAAAACATTGTAATAACAAATTTTTATTATTACAAAATATTTTAAGGATTTTTATTTTATTTATTCTTATTATTAAATCAATGAAATGGCGTATCATTTTAATCTAAGTTACTTATGATCTTATAAATATATTAATTAATCCTTAGTAAATTCTGCACAAGGATATTTGAAACGCCGTATTACAGTATTTATTTCAATAACTATACAGAACAATGTGTTATTTATTGTATATTTTGCATTAAGTAAAGTATATTATTGAAAATAATATAATTCTAAACCTTTACAAGTTTGTTCTGAATTCATTAAGCGTTTTTTTTTACCAATTGCAATTGTGAAAGTTTGCATATCATTACGTAATGCTGCAGTAGCGCCTAAAAGACAATTTTATAAATAAACCACATTGGTATTTGCATTGACATTAAAAGACACATTCGGTACCCTATTGAATTAGAAAATTAAATAAATTAATACGAATTCGAACGACCGAAAAGCCAGGAAAAGTTTACCTTCATAGGAGGCGGCGCAGTGGGCATGAGACACGGTGGCGGCGGCGGTGCAAGGGGTGGTGGTGGCGGCGGCGGTGGAGTCGGTTTTGCCTCGATCTTTTCTAGCACCTCGTCGTCGACGATCTTTATCGTGGCTTTGGCATCGTCCGGTAGACTACCCGACGCCACCAGCTGCTCCAGTCGCTTCCTCTCCGACTTCTCGTTATTCACTTGTCGTGAAAGTGTCTCTATGCTGTCCTGCAGCTCCGAGATCCTTTGCTTTGTTTCAATATGTAGGGAAGTCTCCTTCTCCAGCCGCTCTTTTATACGAATTAGACTCGCTTCCATATCTTCCTGATATTTCGAATGAATAATGTTGCACGTGAGTTTGCAGCGCCACGTTTCATAATTTATATTAATATTTTCATTCAAAGGGTTCGCTAGTTTATTAAAATGTAAAAGATTCAAATTGGAAAGAATCGAAGCACT